CGTGGTCTACTCTGGTCGCCTAGAGCCTTAGGGATTGATCACACAACATGGTGATGTATTCCGATGTTTAGCGTGAGGTCTTCAAAAACGAAGAGCCAGTGCTCCTCAAGCGCCTGCCAGGAGATATTGCAATAGGCAGGGGCCAACTGAAGAAAGCCAACAAGACCCCAAACAAGACGAAGGCAAATCGCCAAACCCATCCCCATCTCTCCCCATCCCCAGCACATCTGGAGAACTTTTGAGTGAACTTTTCAGAACCTCTTGAGGCCTGCAGGTGGCCCTGGCTTTGGCACCCCGGGCGGCGGCACACCGCCGGGCATCCCGGGCCAGTTGTGGCTATCCTGTTTCTAGTGACTGCTTGGAAATCAACATTTGCATCTACCAGGGTTACCAGGTGTTACCATTAAAAAGTTGGGTGTTCTTGTCTAAATCTTTACTTGTCAAGAATCCATCACTCAGCGGAAGTCTAACAACACGTTGATAGTTGTCCGTGGATTTCTCCTGAGTTGCTCCGGTTCATCTCATTGCGTTCTCATAGTCTGATGGAAGCACGCGAGCCCCCTCCATTTGCCAGTTTGCAAACTTCCGCAGGGACGACCTGTCAGGTGAAGTGAGTTTGTACCCTTCCTTGGTTGATTCTCCCGAGCCCGAGAAACAGACTGAATACACCTGAATGCCTGTTCCCACAAGACTCTACGATCTTTTGAGCAGCCCGTTCGCATACCTTCTGAATTGGCATCCATTCAAAGTGCTAACCAAGGTGTTTCAAGCAGTTCTCTCCTCCTCTTCTTTTTCTTTTTCTTCTTCTTCTTCTTCTTCTTCTTCTCTCGAGGTTTTGTGCGGGTCGATACTCCTGTTTGGCCGAGTGGACGGCCTCCCAAGGAAGACCGGCACACCGCGCTCCTTTGGTCCGTTGGGCATCCTCAGGAAGACCGTTCTGCGTCCGTTGAGTGGGGGTCGTCGTTCATCCCAAGCATCAGATCTTCAGGCTCTGTGGTTGTTAGTGACCATACCAGGTTCGGTATGTGGTAGCCATCCATCTATCTGGGTTAGTGCTGTTGGACGCAGTTTCCAAGGGCCAAGGTCAATGTGTTGGTCAAGCAGCTGCTTCCAGCTTCGACACTTGATTTGGTGTGTCCTTTATGACCTTTTTCAGAGCCATGGTGGAGTCCAAACAAGCTAGGTGAGTGGTGTGGGACAGAGAGACAGAGAGAGAGAGAGAGCATTTTGACCTGGACTTCCTTAAACTAGCAGTGCAAATCACATTTAGATTGCAAAGGATCGAGAAACCAAGCTTGACAAACAGTGCTTGAAGATAAAAGTAGAAGCAAGAGGGCAAAACAAAAGAACAGATACAAATACCCAAAAAGAAAGAGAACTTCCTCTTTTTCACCTGACGAAGAGTGGTGTGTTTCTTCCTTTCCTGTCCTTCCTCAGGTCACAGCCTGGGACCCCCACAGTCCACTCGCAGCCGGGTACTCCCACGGGCCGTGGCAGCCGGGGCCCTGGGCCACCGCTGCCGGGGATGCAAGCCTTCCCGGGGACGCCAGGCGCGGGCGGATGGTGTGTCCAGATAGAAGCGAAAGGAATAAAAATTTGAGGAAAATGGCGAATGGTTTGGCCAATTTGTTGTTTCTCGTTCCAGAAGAGTCTAGCCTTCCGACCAGGCGGCAGCCGCGCCGGCAGCCGCACGGTGTCGCCCCGGAACCGCAGTGGGCCGCCAAGCTCCCGTGGCCCTGGGCCGCCCTTGCCAATGGCCGCTGGAGCTGAAAGCCAGAGAAAGACTGTCGGTTCAGTTTTGGTTGGAGGGCGGTGAAGGCTGGAATGGTGTTGGGTTGGAGAAAAAGGAGGAGGTGTGGTTGGAAGGGCAGAGGCTTGAGGGGACAGTTAGGAAGAAGCCAACAAGTGATTCACTCTGCACAGGGTTTATGGTGACAGTGAAGGCGGGTTTGAGTATTTGCTTGATGCTCTTCAGTGGCTTCATCGTCAAAAGGCTTCGACACTCGAGGGGATCTTAAAAAATCGCCACTTTCGTTGCCAGCTGATCAATGAGTGGCCCACCTGAGATCCTGTTTGCCAGGCCTTTGTTCCCCTCTCCACCATCTCCCGTAAACTGCCTGAGGTGCCAGCAGAGAAGGCACCAATGCCACTGTTCATCCGCGGGCGGGGCACCTCAAAGGGGGTTCTTGGTGGAATAGGATTGGATGGCGGAAGGCGTAACGATACAGATTGAAATCACAAAAGTCAACCCAAATAGGAGTTTGATAGTCCTAATGTTGCTCGGCCCAGGCAAAGGCGCCAAGCGGAAACAAACATCACCAAACGTTCACAAAACATGCTGGTAAGGGAAGGTTCGAACACAGCCCTCTTTGCAACACCGGGTGAGTCAGAGACATGTTTGAACGTCGATGCCATCAACGGATTTTCGTGTTGAATGGAGTCAATTTAGTGGACCAGATGGTTTTCTTCTTGTAGCGATCCACAACTCTGGATGTCGTTTTGGTAAAGCCCATCAGGTGCTGTTCATGGTTTGGCAGGCAAGCAGTCTCTTGATGAAAAAAAATGGCAAACAAAGGCGGCAAAGGTATCTATTCGTAAAGAAGGACAGAAAGGTTGTCTAAAGAAACAAGAAGGAAACCAGAAAAAGCAGAAGCAAAAAGAAGTTGTCAAAGCTTTCTTCCTCTTTTTGTTCCTTAGACTTTGCTCACTGAGGCAGCCACCTCCGCAGCTGCCAAGCCCCTTCCAAGGACCACCAAGTGGTCCACCGGCGGGTGGTCCGCCCATGGGGCCGCCGGGTGGATTTCAGGCACAAAGAGAGCACTTGTAGTTGAGAGGGTCAAAGACCGCGCCAGATGGACAATGAAGAGTCTCCAATCTACTAGCGATGGCCTCCAACCTAAGAGATGAATGAACAATGGTGATTCTTTGATTGCTATTTCTAAAGTGCATCTTCATGGATTTGCGCGTACAGGCAATGACGCCAGTCGACAGCTCAGACTGACGCCGCTCATGCGTTGAGATTTCACTGGGATGGTGTCAAGTGCTTTAAAGTGATCCTGGACCCTGGCAGAGGACAAGTCTTCTAACAAGCCTAAACAAACGGTTGTGTGTTTGTGTCGTTCAACTGTTAATGACCACATCTTCCACTAACATCCACAGCTTGCTTGGTGTACCGTCTTTCTGCCGACCTCGCCTTCAGGGCGGAGGCGTACCGATGGTGCCACCAGCACCACCACCTCCACCAAGAGAGGAGCAGCAACCGCTGTGCTTGTGCTGAGCACCTTCTGCCTGCTTTAACACCCTGGTTTATGGATTTTCCGCATGGAGAAGCACAGAGCCCCAGGCCTTTTGATGCATCGCTCATACGTCTTGCACAAGAAGGTATTGTTCAAAGCTGTCGAGCAAACGGAGGTCTCAATGGAGGGCGCATCCCTTGGTCGTTTTGAGGTTTGTATGGTTAGTTGAAATGAATGCCAAGGTAAGGCAGTTGGGCCCTGTCCTGATTTCAATTGCTTTCGCATCCAAACTTCCAGCAAGAGACTTCCAGCAAGAGAGCCACTGGACAGCAATCAAGTCCCTTTCAAACTACCCGCAGTTTCACATGAGAAAGGGTGACACCTGTCAGAAAACCCATGTGGCAATAAACCTCAGATCGTTGCTTCAGTTCAGTTTGGGAGGACAGAAACCCTCCCCATTTCAGCTCACCAGCCATGACTCACCCACCTGGGGCCGTGCCGTTTCCGCGTGTTCTGCGTGTTCGGTCCGTCGTTCCAGGACGACCAAGCCTTCGTACGAAGGATCCGAATGACATACATGGACAAGGCCGTACTGTGTGCTTTCCGGGAGCCGAAAGAAGAGAAGATGCCCTTTGCTCCTAGTAGCTTCTTGTTCCTAAAAAGAAGATAAACAGGGCGCCCAAAAAGCGTTGTGAAGAAGATGAAGCACCAAACGTGGCGAAAGCTGTCCAACTGAGAAGTGCCAGGTGACCAAAGATCATGACAAGCACGATCTTTTGGAAGACTTGGAGGACCGACCGGGCATCGGACGGGGTGATGCTGTTTTTTCATGCCTTTTCTGATGGCCAAATCAAAAGCTGTTTGTTCAAGGCTGAATCAGCTGTTGACACCAGAGCTTCAACACTTACAAAAATGCAGAGCTGAGAAGACTGACTTGTCAGTTGACCGGTGAGTGTGTTGAGTTTTTGCTACCACAGAGTCACAGAGTCTTCAAAACTAAAGAGTCCACCTCCAAGACCAACTGAGGCTTGATGGTTGTTTGGGGTACCTGGTCAGGTCCTGCCTGGTCGGGAAGTGTTAACCTGACAGACTTCGCCATGTCTCTCCGTCTCGTCCCGCTGAGGAGCTGGGCAAAGAAACACCAGGCTTTGCCGTCCTGAGCTTGTCGCTACGTCTTGCTACAAAAGGACAACCACAGGTCCAACTCCTTTTGGTGAGAGAAGGGGATCAGATGTTGTTCTATCAACGGTCCACTCGTTCCGTTCCTACCGAAAGCCCGGTCAAGAGTTTCCCAAAACGGGCTCCGCTGGAGCGGCGCAGGTTGGGTCTACGACACGATGACCATCATGCCCTACTTGGCGTCAGGGGATCCTGGTTTCAAGACAGTCAGTAGCAGTCTATCCAACAGGGCACCTCGATGACTAGTAACAAGGGCATCGCTTCTAGGAACAAGAAGCTGCTAGTAGCAAGGTTGGGATTGAATTCCTATTTCATCCTATTTCCATTCTGAACGATTCGTCCAGCATGTCCTCTGAAGCTAAAGCTGTGTTTGTCCGCGCTCTTTCGGCCCCACACCTAGCTGAACCGAAAGTCCCTTTCTGAGACAGACCATGCAGCATGGCGGTTCCTTTGCGTGTTTTTCTTGCAAACCCATCCATACTTGATGTCATAGCCAGGTGAAAATGCGCATGGTATTTCTGCCTACTGATGCATTGAGCGTGCGCAGTGCTTGACCTGTGGGTGCATCCCAAAAAGGTCAAAAAGATGATGAAAGCACTGCAGATTGACGGGTATTGCGATCGTGCTTCCGCAAAGCTTAAGGAAGTCAAGAAGCCTGTGGCAGACGCTACTGGGGTTGTTTGCAAGGTGGTTGCGACATCAGTCAACCCTCTCGATTGGCTCTTTCGCAATGGAGTCCTGGCAGACTTGATCCCAGTCCAATTTCCGCATATCATCGGATGGGATTTCTCCGGAGTTGTTGACTCCATCGGTGAAAGCGTGACCGATTTCCAGGTGGGTGACAAGGTGTACTGCAGGCCCGAAGTCACGAGGAATGGAAGTCATGCAGAATATATCCTCGTTCCGGAAGACCACTTGGCACACATGCCAAAGACCATTTCATTCTCAGATGCTGCATCAGTTCCAATCGCGAGTATCACTGCCTGGCAAGCACTCTACGACTTGGGTGAGCTGAGAGAAGGTGATAGAGTTCTCATCCACGCTGGCGCTGGAAGTCTTGGGATACTTGCTCAGCATTTTACAGATGCCTTTCCCTTCTTGGGAATTTAGATGTTTTGAAGGCATCATTTTCGAACCACACGAAGCATCTTATGTTTTAAAATTCTGAGCGTAGAACACCCAGGATTATGGCCATACAACTGGCAAAGCTGAAGGGTGCTCATGTCACGGCGACAGCATCTGCCGAGAAACATTCTTTTGTAAAATCGTTGGGCGCTGATGTCGTCATTGACTACAGGACCACTGCATTTGAGGACGTTCTCAGCAACTGGGTTTGGCAATAGTATCCGCATTCGTGTTTTTTGTTGTCTTTTGGCACATCTTTGAACCCTTAAACGGATGAATCAAAATAGATATTTAATTCCGTTTCATGAGAATCCAGGCGACCTTGATGTGGTTCTCGACACCATTGGAGGGCAAACCCAGGCTTTGTCTTGGCAGACGCTAAAGAAACCAGGCTATTCATTTTTGCAGATTTGTTAATCTTTCCATATGTCCTTGTTTAAGACTACCTTACCACAAAAAAGCACAAGTACACTTGTTGTCTCCTAAAATTCCTTGATAGCCAAGGAAAGGAGGGCGGCTGGTTGCTGTCAACGAACCAATCGACGTCTCGAAAGCCGCCGAGTATCCGGAGGTCATCAGCCGTTTCCTCTCCATCAAACCCAACAAGGAGATTCTAACTCGAATGGCGGCGCTTTTGGATGAAGGGAAGATTCGGACCATCGTGGGTTGTGTACCGTCCCAGTACAGTGAGACCTGGAGCGCACTGTTGGCGTGTACAGAATCATACAGTGTCATGTCAGAAGCGGAAGAAATAGAACTGCTAAGCATCCTTCGGCCGCAGTTCAGGGTGTGAAGTCGGATGCAGAACGAACGAAAAGTCGACGAAGAGAAATGCCATTTGTGCCGTTTCAAGGTCCAGCACCTTTACCCTGGCCTCCATCTTCGTGGTCTTACAGCAGTCTCCTCAGTGGCAGCGGTGTGCACTGGAGGAATAGCCAGACCAAATGCCAGGACAACAAAAGACCAAAGAAAACCCGTGTTTTCTTCTCGGAGTTGTTCAGAATATCTTCATGTTGTCTGGATTTGAAATGCTTTGAGCTCCGTGATTGATCAAGGTATGGCATGAAATTCCAGACCTTCCAAGAAGAGATGTGGTGGAAAGGATCTTTGATAGGCTTGGAGTGGGCAGACCGGGAGGCTTGTTGTGCTGACATATGCCATGTTTGGCAAATAAGTTACGCATCAAAGCATGGAAATCAAGAAACGGAAAAGAGAGCGTTGGTTTTTCTGTTCAGTTTCTTTGGGGCATGCGGAGCTTGTGGACCCACCGTTTCGCCGGTGAGGCCTTGGGCTGGTCTTGGGGGTTTTAGACCTGGCACGGGTGGTGGTGATGTCGGAGGCCTCAGTGTTCTGCCAGAAACAACGGCTCACGACGTCTCACTGTACTGAACGCGGTTTGGACAAGCAGCTTCCAATCAAGCCTTGGCCATAAGAGAGTTCCGTTGAAGGAATTGGAAACAATGCAAACTGTGGACGTCTTTGGGTATGGTGGTTATCAAACTATTACCTGTAGAATAAACAAACCACCTGACCCACCATTGTGAACTGGCTGTGGTTTCTACGTCCCTTCTGAGGACCTTAGTGGAGCTGCGGAAGTACGAGAACCGCCGCAAGGCGAAAGACGGCCACTTCCTCCCAAGGACAGGAGCTTTGACAGGAGGCGTCCGAATCACTCCGAGGTCTAACTGGAAGATCTGTCAGGCTCAGTGCGATTGCTTGTCCTTTGTCCTCATGCACGGTCTGTGTGAGGAAGATCCGACGGGAGAACGACAAAGACTTCCAACCTGCTCCGCCTCCACGTTTGTGGAAGCAGGCGCTTGGAAAAGTGTCGACTCTTCAAAGACCGTCAGAGCCACCAGCCGTCTCATGGACCTGAAAAACTGCCAACAGGACCGCAACTAGCTACCAGTAACAAGGCATCTTACCACTTTCAAGAAGCTGTTTTTTCCCATTGATACAAGACCTGAGCACACCAGGTTACTAGACTCAGTCAGCTCCAGTTTGGAGGTAGAAAGTCATTGCAACTTGGACGACCTCCCTTTCTCCCGTTCCTCAGGCGGTGGCTGCGCCGCCGGTCCCCAAGGGCCCGGCCATCACGGCGCCCCCGCCGCGGCCTTCGTTCCTGCCTCCTGCGCCCACGGGGCTACAGGCACTGCAGGCATGATGCAAAAACTATTGTAGTTTTATTGTGTTATGGTGATTTTTCAATAGAATACATACGTTATAAATATTTTGGTTAAGGAAAATAAATAATATATATAATTTTTATTATATGGATTGTATGTAAAAAATTGCTTGAAAAATAGATTCCAGTCCGCACATTGTATCGATAGATTTTCGTGTAGAAGCGGGCTTTTAATAGATTTTATTGATTTCGTAAGATTGCGTTAGGTTTTTTATGGTTGATATGATTACGATTTGTTGGTAGTAAATATATTCGTGATAGGTTTTATTGGTGATTTATCTTTCCATTCTTTGTATTTTATTTGTTGGAAATATTGGTTTTAATTCCGGATAATATGAGGTCGTAGTATTTTTTTATTTTTTGGATTTGGTTTCATTGGGCGTGAAACGAATTGGAAATGGGATATATAGATTTTAATTTATTGAATTTTTCGTGAAGTTAGGTTTATTGAAATATATTTATATTTATTATTTACAAATTCTATATATATATTATTCGGGTTTTTTTTTGATTTGTTTTTATATGTTTTTTTTCCGAATGCGTAGCGAAGGAATTTTATTTAAGTTTGGAATAAGACTTATTTGTTATCGGTGATTTTATGTTCGTAACGTAGTCGTTTAGGAAACACTTTGAATTTCTTTTGCGAAGTAAGTAATGGGATATTCGGATTTAATAATTGATCGTTTAATTTATATGTCTTTTTCCTTCGAATTAATTGTTTTTTCTTCTAAAATTCGCGAAAGGTAGGAACAAAAATATAATATTCGATATATTGATTTATTTTTTCGGAGGTGATTTTTATAAATATATATTTATATGTATTTAAAATGATTAAATATACATTTTCGAAATGAATAAAAAGATTCTTAAGAAAATAAATTTGCTCCATGGCTTAAATTAAAATTATAGGGATTGAATTATTTTGAAACCATAAGAAGCTTACGAAAACGTTCTCTAGGAAAGAATTGAAATATTTTATAAAACAAACTCTGGCTATATATATATCCTCAGGAATTTCCTTTCGTGATTGGAATTTCATATTTAGTTTTTCTAAATATTTAAAAGGATTTTAACTATCCTAAAATTATGAAAGGCTTACGAAGACGTTTTCTTTCCTTTTATATATATTAAATGAAAAAAATAAATATATAGAAAAAATATTTATTTGATTGAATTTACTCCATAATTGATATGTAAATTAAAATATATATATATATAAATGTGTATTTTTTGAAAAAAATATTGAATCTTGCAATAATGGATTCGTAGATTTGGCGAATCTATATAATCGAAATGCCCATTGATGATATCGAAAGGCATAAATTTATAATTACGAATTTGATCGCGCGTATATAAATCCTTATCGATTGGGAAAAAGAATACAAATGTTTTTTTATTCCGTGTGTATATTATGTATTTTTTATATAAGAATTTCTATATATTAAAATTATTAAGTATATTCATTTTATTATATATAAAATACCTATTATTTTGAAAGTGTAATATTTAATCTTTAAATAAATTAGTAAAAATTTTATATTTATATTTTTAATATTTGATATATTTTAATATATTTTATTTAATATAAAAATATATTATATAATATTATATATTATTAATATTATAAAAATAAAAGTATAATTTAAATTCTAAATCGGATTCAAAACATTTTGGAAGCATATATATATTTTTTAATAAATGTATGTTTTATTCGATATCAAAGATATTTTGAAATGAATTGTAATAAGCTTCATTCGTCGTATAACATAAATATTATCAAAATAACATAATTCTATTTGTATTAAATAGAAAAATTAAAAATATACAGACATAATTCTTTGAATCTGAGGGCCACATTGATGACGAGCGACCCGGGTTCATGTGCTACCTGTCAGGCTGCTTAAAGTTCTTCATCCTGGTCACGGCTTCCTCCATAAGATGCCATGCAGCGCACATGTCAATGACCACAGCCGTGCCTGCGTGCCCTCTGCCTCCATACACCTGCATCGTGCGGTACAGTGGCTCCCTCTTGTGTCTAACAGAATCTGCTATAGTCTAGCTGGTTAGGATACTCAGCTCTCACCCGAGCGACCCGGGTTTGAGTCCCGGTGGGGGAATTTATTAAATGCGACCTGTCTGGCAACTTCGCAAAGCATTTCTGCATGTAGGCTGCTTAAGCTGGACTATGGCGGATTCTGTTGGGCACAAGAGGGAGCCACAAAGCATTTCTGCATGTAGGCTGCTTAAGCTGGACTATGGCGGATTCTGTTGGGCACAAGAGGGAGCCACCCTACCGCACGATGCGTGTGTATTGAGCTGGAGGGGCACGCAGGCACGGCTGTGGTCCTTGACGTACGTGTGCGCTGCACATCTTATGGAGGAAGCCGTGACCAGGATGAAGAATTTTAAGCAGCCTACGTGCAGAAATGAGACAGGTCGCACATTTTAAAAATTCCGGTGCGCTGCTATCCACCACTGCTCGTACATGAGGTAGGGATAGGTGGGCCAGTTTAGCACATTCTTCGAAAGCACATTGACTGACGATGGCTCCGATCGCTAGGTGGCTGCCTCCATCGACGATATTACCAACACACTCCAACGCACAACATTCGGAGATGCTCGAACACCAAACTCAACACATCGCACGCGCCTTGTTGGGGTGTGGTTGCCCACCGCTCCAGTGCTGGTTGCCCGCTTCCAAAAACGCCATGACTTTGTGGCATCCAGTCCGTGGTGGCTCGAGTCCACCCTCATGTGTTTGGCCTTCCCGGCCACTTCAGGTCCTTGTGCAGCAAAAGAAAAATACTCCACAGGCACCTGCTGTGTGTCACCAAGGACAGAAAACACCCAGACGCAGCAGCAGGCTTTCTCGTCTTCCAACCACATGAGCCACAAGATCTGCGCGCACAGCCCCAGCATCCAAGTTCCAAACGCATTGTGATCATCCAAAATGCGGCAGGAGTTTTTGCCATCTGCCCACAAGTCCTGTCATCATCCAAGACGTGGCGGGCGCACTTGCGCCATCTGCCCACAAGTCTGAATCTGAAGTGCACCTGCAGCGCAGGCAACTATGTGTCATCAAGGACAGAAAAACAAGTCTGCGCGCATGAGTCAGGAAGCTAAAGTAGCCAGATCGCGCCCTAGCTTCTTCGAATTTGACTGAATCTTGCAGATATCTCTGATGGCTGACTCTCGCTACAGCCTGATAATGAATTCCGCGACCGGAACTGAAACCCGGATGGTTTGGGTGAGAGCCGAGTATCCCAACCAGCTAGACTATAGCGTATTTTGTTGAGCACAAGAGGGAGCCACCGTACCGCACGATGCATGTGTATTGAGCCAGCAGGTGCACGTCAGGCAGGCAGCTTGACGGGTGACCCAACTCGAGCGATCACGATCGTTTTGTTGAGCCAAAGTAGAGTTTGCCTTTTGCACTGCGTGCAGAAATGCTTTGTCGCACATGTCATAAGTTCCGCCACCGGTACACGAACCCGGGTCGCTCGGGTGAGAGCCGAGTATTCTAACCAGCTAGACTACACCGGATTCTGTTCAGCATGAGCCATGGCAGATGCCTACAGAAAGGTTTTTGAGAAGAATAATTTCAATCCTTTTCCGCCTGGCTAGCTGTCCCTGAGATAGCCAACGACTTCGGTCGCTTGCCCAACACGGGCGGATTCGCTCAATTTGCACGCATCCTGTCGTACAGTGGCTTCTTCTTGTGCCCAGCACCTTTGAGGATCAATGATCGTGAAGCCAAGCCCAAGCAACCTAGTCAGGGACATCCTATAGACCGGTTGTGCTTTCCATGAAGCACGCCCACAACTCTGTTACCAAGATTGTATTTAGTAACAGTTTCGCCTCACTGCGGCAAAGCTGTCTTGCAGGCACAGCACTCTGTGAACCGCAGATTTCTTGCCAGGAGAAGAAATAGTGTGAACCATGTGCTCATTTTGTGGTGGAAACCAGAACATCTGTTTGTGTTTCACACTGTCCACGTGGTATACGACATGCCCACGGGCTTGCTTCCCTAACAGATGACGGGGCCATCTTGCAGGCTCAACCGTCTTGAGATCGTCGTTTCAAGAAGCATGGAGGTTCAAAAAGCGCTGCGCCTGTGCGCTGCCTGCGATGAAGTCAGGACATGGAGGTTCACACAGCAGTACAACTTCAGCGCTCGATATCTGGCAAGCGGGCGGATGAGGTCTGGCGACTTTGGAGTACAACTTGGGCAGGTAGAAAGTGAGGTCATCTCTCGCTGCTGAGTCAGCTCTTGCCAAAGCCATCTCTTTCGGCTGAGTCATCCGTCGCGACTGAGTCATCTCTGGCTCCATACACCAGTCAGCATGCACCACTCATCACACACCATTCATCACATTCATCACACACCACTCATCACACACCACTCATCACCCATCATACACCACTCATCATACACCACTGATCATTACAACTTTAGACTACAGAGCAATCTGTAGAGCTGAAAGCTGGGATCTGGCGCGGCTTTGTACGCGGAGTATCTGTGGAGCTGTTTGGTGAGAACTGGCAACTGGCCTCTTTGTAGTACAACTTCAGCACGCGGTGAGATTTCGTGGCAGGTGCAGCAGTTTGTGTGACTGCTGTGCGATGAGTGGTGTCTTTACCCGAAGTTAAATGTCCTTTCCTGATCCTACGCAGAACACAGGGGTTGGGGTCTAGAAAGAGGCGAATTCCATGCTGGGGCGCTTCTTGGAGGGACAGAATGAGAACGAGTTCACATGCCTTCAACATTTCTTGGAGACACCCTGGCAACTGCAACCAAAATACAACATTCAGCGAGAGATGACTCAGCAGATGACTCAGTCGCCAGAGATAACTCAGCCGCAAGAAATAGCTGTAGCGAGAGCTGACTCAGCAACGAGAGAGGAATGAGCAGCGAAAACGAGTTTCCAAAAAACGTGCGAGACATCCTCCACATGTGATGTGTCAAGTCTCCAAAACGA